TTATATGTCTGCTAAGAGTCATACATGACTCAGTGTTACTCAACAACAACACCAACAACAATAGTAATGTAAAATCAGAATTAAGTCCTAAGGAATGAAGCTAGAATCTATTTAAATTAATCAGTGTTACATTTATGCAGGTATTTTACAAAGGGCAAAGCTTCTGGCCTTAGGGCAATCACACAAATTCCACTTTAAATTGCCACATTTATCTATACTTGACTCATTGAAGTTGTAGGAACTGTTCTGAGTCACTTCCAATTTCTGTAACTATTTAAAATATAGTTATTAAAGCAAAAAGTGAGCCAAAGTAGAGATTATAACTTTCAGGAGATTATAATTGTGGAATTATATTTGTGAGATTATAAAATTATGCCCAGAATTCTACTACTTCTTGATATTTTTGTTTATACCATCAAGTAGACCATGATTTATTGTTGCCCTATGAATGAGAGCCTGGATTATTTCCCTATCTTGTGCCATCCTCATGTTCTTTACCATGCTCAAGACCAATGTTGTAATTACTGTGTCAATTCATGACCACCAATGTACAGAAACAGTCATTGTCTTGTCATGCAATCCCTCCGCTCAAGTCCACTCCACTGTGCAGTCTTCATTCTCGACTCCTGTCATGACAATAATACCCAATCATATATCTTTTAAACAGTTCTTTCCCTCATCTGTTTCAATGCAGTATACATCATTTCTTCCCTCCTTCTCTGTCTTCCCTCAACCTGGATGTCAGTCTCATTTTACAACAGTGGCACTATGTAATATGTCCTTTTGTTACTGAGATATTTCACTCAGCATAATGTTCTCCAGGGTCATCCACTTTGCATAATATTTCATGAGTTCCTTATTTTCCAATGCTGCGTAGCATTCCATTGTGTGAATATACCAGAGCTTCTCTATCCATTCATTTGTTGATGTGCGCTTGGGTTGTTTCCAGCTCTTTGCTATTGCAAACAAAGCTGTAATATAAACATGAGAATTTTTCTTACTTTTAAAGGAGAATAGTGAATTGGGGGGAGGGGTGGGCAGGGAGAAAAGTGCAACAATGAATGACTAGAAACCCTAAGTGTCTGTAAACTTTCATTAAAATTAATAAAAACAAAACAAAACAAAAACCTAACCAGAAAAACTGAATGATGAATTGATGGAAATTCCATTAATTTCTATGTTGAAAATGGAATGAAGTTTAGTTTGTTTTTCTTTGTGTTCATCGTTAAAATTTGGTTTTTATTAATTTTTAAAATGTGTTATGTACTTATGTGAATTAAAATTCAAAATTATATTCAAAGGATACTCAAGTCTTACTTCCCTCTGCACATACTCTCTTTTTATTCTTGTTCAGTTTCTCTCTCTCTCTCTCTCTTTCTCTCTGTGTGTACGTGTGATATATTTCCTAAATCAAAAGGTGACCTGTTGCATAATATGCAAGTACTATTTCGCCCCTTGCTTTACTAAACAATATTTTTAGGAAATTATCAGTTAAGAACTTGACCCCTTCCTCTTTAAACCAACTTGAGTTTTGTATTATCTCAGGGTGTATATGTCATATACAGGGTATCCATTACCTAAGTTACTTAGAGAATTCCTGGGAGGGCTCATGAAATGGAATCATCTTTCTTAGGGATGTGGTTTTTAAAAATATATGATAAACAAAAACTCTAAGTATTGTAACTCTTCAACACTCATACAAAACAAAGAAGTCCAAATGAAATAGTACAATTTCTTTGATTTAAATTAGTGTTTAACCTTATGAAAATAATGGCAATGGACTGGGATTGAAATTTGGATAACATAAGGAGTAAAAACATAGGCCATGAACTCAGATTAACCATGAAAATCTCTGTAAACATTTTAAATTTGCTAACTACTTGCTTGCTCACAACGTTTTAATAGTGACTATCAACTATTTTATTTATATCTTAGGCAACAAAGAACAAAAACAGTTATAACAATGTGTGGTTCTAAGCTCCTACCCTGAGCTTATTGAAACAGGCGCATTCACACCTTTAGTATTGCAGTATTCATGATGTCAGTTGCAAAAAGATTACAGTGTTCCAGAAGCAAAAATAATTTGAGTAATAATAATTCATAGTTTTGCTGTGATGCTATTAAGCTATAAAATTATTTGAAATAAAAATCACTGAGTTCATAGAAATACAGTTTCACAACCCAACATTTCCAGTGATTACAAAAAAAAAAGAACAGTTTATTTCAGCAGGATATAGCTTTTTCTTAAGGAACATCTCCCCTTAGGTATCCTTAAAACACAATGTAAATCCAGAAAAGAGTTTTGCATCAGAAATCTTATACAGTTGCTTAGGCTAAACTACACATATACATGCAGAGAAGAAAGAGGAAGGAAAAGAAAAAACATTGCTTCCGTCGAAAAACAAGCACTTTTTCCCCCTGGTGTCATGTCTTTGGATATGTACTGCCCTGGAGAAATGTAGAAATTATTTTTATACATGGAACTGCCTTAGAAAACTAGAGATTTTAGTACAAAGAAATCAATTCACTGAAAGATGCCCACATGCTGCTGTTATGAGTTACTACATGTGTGTACATGTGTATATATATACACACACACAAGAGGAACTTACAAAGGACCCTTGTTTTACAGTTACAATTAAGCTGTACATTAGCATAGTGGGTTTACACCTTCTCCAGGCCTGAGTTACACTTAGTATTACAAATAATATTATAACAATGCTGAAAATACTGATACAAAACAGCTTTAAGATGATATTTCCAAAAAATATCCATCCTTTTTAAATTGAACTGTTTAATCCAAGTTTACTTTTTGAATGTTTCAGCTTTAAAAAAGATTTTCCAAGAAAATATTAGTGTTTAAAACATCTCTTAAAATGTCTATTAAATGACAGTTATTCTTAAATAGATCATTTTTTTTACAAAGTATAATCCAAAAGTCTATTTTCCAGGAAAACAAAACTATAAACTCCAAAATTTCAAATCAAAAACATTATTTGTGATACATAGTATTTCCATATCCTGGGAAAAAATCCTTGATTATTTTTTTCATGCTTATTTTATTTACAGATTGAAAATACGGTAGCAACACCAACTTTCAGGACACATCAAGCTGAATTCCAAAATAAATAATCATAATTTTTCTAAGATTTCTTAAGTATTGCTAAGCCCAAAATGCATACCTAGATGGATATTACAGCATCTAAAGTATAGTAGGAAGTTTAGATAGCAGCCTCATTAAGTCTAGCAAATCGCAGCACATATTGGCCTCTTTTGGCAGAATTACAAAGACACAAAGAAACATTTGGCAAACATTTGTATTGATGCACATTTGTCTTCCTTTAGAAAACAAAAATTGCAAATATGACATATTTGCCAGATTCTCTACTTTATTAACTTGAATTAAAGTTTGAACATTTATCAAAGCTCCATAGTCAAAGCTAGAGGAGGAGATCTAATGGGTATCCCCCAAAATAGAGAGCTTAAGTGTGTTTTAATACTAGGAGAAGCATTTCAAATAGATGTTTAATATAAGCAGGTTAGGCTGATACCATGCAAAACTGCTATCTCATTTTCCCTTTCTTTGTTAAATTTGTATACACTGATGGATTCAGTCTGTTGGAAAATACAGGAGAATAGATCATGCAGTAAATTTAGCAGTTTCAATTTTCATGGACTATGCAGGACTCTGTCACACTTACTAGCTTTATCAACTTTATCTTTGAAAAGGAAACCTAGAGCTTGATTCTTACCTTTTTAAAACGTATTTTTTCATAGCTTGATATGTACTGTTTCATTATTAATGAAGCATAGATATTTTACTTAGATATACTGATCTATTTTATGTATACAACTTATTACCCAATTCTTTTTCTAACAGAAATACTTTGTCACCAAATTAATTTAGTATGATTGTTGGAGTTTTTTCCTAAACTCAAATTGCAACAGCTTACTTTGTGTTTTCTGTCTAGATGCCTAGATAATCAGGGCACTGGATACAGGGCTACCAAAAACTGACTTGTTCATCTATGCCTCAGTTTTAGTCATAGATATGACTTGATGAATTGAATGCAAATCTGGATATAATTTTAAACAAACAAACATTAGACCATATACATTGAACAAATAGAAGGAAAGTGAACTAAAATCTATTAATGTTCATTCCATCCTCTAACTTTTCAAAATATGCTGATACTTCAATGACAATGAATCAAAGGACATAATGTATCATGCTCTATGTATCATTTGTGAAACTTCCTCCAACTTTACCAGTTTACTAAGTTCTGTCTTAATACTTCATCATAAATAGCAAAAGTTAAAAGCAAAAAATTTAGAAGCTAGAAACTGTCACTTGCTATTTGCTAGCAATTACTCAGTCTGAAATTCTTTGTGAACTAGTGTGAACTAAACAGAAGATAAAAGAAATAGCCTTCCCCCTGAATAGTATTACAAGATAAGCTTGAATGTATTTAATAGAGAGATAATGTATCTCTAGGTTACAAGCAAGCAAATTTCATTCTTTAAATAAATATAACATCAAGTATCAGACTTTTAAAACCACCTTTCTTTTCTCCTTCTAGTATCTAAGTAACTTAAAATTTTTTACAATTCCTTTAGCTAGTCATTCCTCACATCTATTTTCACAGTTAACACCATCAAGTGATCAGAGTGCTATTTGATATTACCTTCAATGCATATCAGTGAGTGACAGAAATAAAAGATAAGTAAGTTAGGGATTATATTAACCAACAAGATGGTGCCATTTATTACACACATATATATAGTAATATCTTCAAGGCAATTCAATCTAATTCACTTCACATGCTCAAGCCTCCATCCTAAAAGAAACATAAAAGTGTAAAAATCTTTGTTGGTAATAAAAAATAAAAAGTAGTAAGAAGTATATGATATGTGACGATTCAAAGGCGAGTTGTGCATTATACATGAGAAACACTTGGTTCTAACTATCTTCATTCTATTCAGAGACAGGAATAAGGCAATTACCCATCCTGTTGACCTAGAGTCTGCAGTTCATTGGTGTGTAAATTGTGGTGGAGAAAGACATTCTTCCTGCTATACATGTGTAAAGAGATTGGCCCTCTTGGTGGTTGTCCAAACCTGCCAATAAAGGTTGAATGCTGCTGTTGGGTGGCATCAGCTTGGTCCTTTGGTTTTTCTGAGAATGTGGAGAACCCTTCGGTCTTAGATGCAGGTTTGAGAGAGCTCTGCACGCCTGTGGCCCACAAATTCTGAGTGATCTCTGAAGGAAGGGCGTCATATGTTCCTCGTGAATGTTTGATAACTTCCACAAGTTCCTTGTCCTTCAAGAAATTACTTAAGCACAGACTTGAGAGTTGATATGTCTTGTTTTTGTAGGGGCTTGTCTGGTCAGTTGCAGAGTATCTAAAATGGTCCTCGGTGAGAGTATGCATTGGTTTTCTGTCCCTTGTGCTGAGGCTTTGGCTCACAATTCGACTTCGATACATAGCCTATGAAAAGAACACAAAAAGGAAAATATGTCTTTAAAATAAAATGCATTAATTGCTTATACAGAATACTAAGTGGTATTTAACTGTTTTGTATCTTATGCAAATTCCAAACATTTCCATCAAAACATAGAAATATATTAATAGAATTTTCAAGGTTAAAATTTTCATTCAAATGTGATTACACATGATTAAAAAAGCTAATTTATTTAAAAAGAACATTTTTAAAGCGACTTACTAATTTCCCAGGTTTTATTACATTGCATATACTCAGAACACCTGTTTTGTAATTGTTATATGCTGTTGAGTTGATTCAACAGTATGAACAACAGAGCAGAGCTCTGTCTTATCCTGTGCTGTCCTCACCATCTCTGATATACTTATGCCCATTGGTACAGTCACTATATCAATTTGTCTTGTTGAGGGTTTTCCTCTCTTAGAGTGACTCTCAATTTCCTGAAAAACGATGTCTTTCTTCACGACTGGACATTCCTAACAACATGTCCATTGTGTATAATATATACCACTTATATGAAAATATAACTTGAAAATCCAAATTATATTAATAACCAGTTAGGAAATTACTAAATTTTGTTTTGTTGGTTTTAATATATTATGTTTTTCCATGGACATGCCCAGTAAGAGTGAGATTTCATTATTATTATAGATTATCATTAATTGTACCCACCTTAAGAATTAAAATTCAGGAATTACAATTCCAAAATAATTCAATGACCAATCTCATTGATTTCACATGCAAGCAAGATTCTACCAAAGATTATTAAAAATACCATGGACTGCTAGGAAAACAAACAGATTTGTCCTGGAAAGGGTTAAACGGGGTGGCTCCTTGGAGGCAAGGATTCTGAGGCTCCCTCTAACATTCTTTGGACATGTGAGGAGAGACTGGTCCTTGGAGAAGGACATTGTGTTGGGAGGGTGGAGGGACAGCGCAGGAGGGGAAGGCCCTCTATGAGGCGGATTAATTCAGTGACTGGGATAATCGGGATGGGTGTGTCGTGTCAGAGACAGTGCGATTGGCACAGGACAGAGCAGAGTTTAGGGCTGCTGTACATAGATAAGGTTGCTATGAGTCACAAGCAACTCGACTGCACATAACAACAACAACGAGGAGACCAACACATTATTTAGAAGAAACTCAACATTTGGTTCATTCAATCTTTGAGACATACTTTATTTATCAAATTAGGTCCATGAGTATCTGAAATCTTCTTGCTCACCAGAAGACTAAGCTTTTTCTGAAGTTGTAGACACAAGATATAGTTCATTGAATTATGCTGTGAAAAAGTAAAATTGTATTATCTTGGAATTATTTCTGAATTCCTTTTAAAGTGTACATTTTCTTGTTTTAGAAAAATCATTGAGGTTGTAGTTAAAATTATCTGACTCATTGATCTTCCGATTAAAAAAAAAAAAAAAAAGAAGAGATGTGTTGTTTCCACAGAGAACGGAGACCTTCCCAATGAAAACTAATCTTTTCCTTTAAATAAAATTTCTATTTAATTCTTTTTTATTTACAAAATTCTTGTACATTGTTTTTCAAACAAATGGGATCTTTCCCACTTCTTTTACCCATCCCTCCATCTACCCATCAAATTGTGCAACCCTATGATTATCCCTCACACATACACAGCCTCCCCCCTGCCCATCCTCACCCCTCTGTTTTTCCCCTTAGATCTTCATACACATTTTACTAACAATCTATTTCTAAGTAATGGTCATATATAGTATGTGAGAGAGTTTTCTTTTGATTTATTGACTGCTGGAGTGTTGATTGTGTATTTAAGCAAGATGAAATTGTTAACACTCTCAATCTCTTCTCCATCTATCATGAAGTTAAAAATTGGCTTGGTGGTGAGAATAATTTTTTTAATGTTGAAATGCAATCCACATTGAAGACTATAGTTCTTGATCTTCTGTAGCATATGCTTCAAGTGTTTTTTCAGTGTCAGTAAACAAGGATTGTCATCTTCTTTGCATATCTGTTTCTTTTTTTGTTGCTGTTGTTTTGTTTTTGTGGGTTTTGGGTTTTTTTGATATTTGGTACTTGTTGGGCTTCAATTTTTTTTGTTTTTGGTTTTGTTTGTGTGTGTGTGTATGTGTGTATTTCTTATCCATAGAAACAGATAAAGTTAAATACTTACACAAAATTATTTTTTTCTCTCTTTTTCTCATCTTCTTTCATATCTCTCACTCTTATTATCCAATTTTGATTTATTAATTTTTTAATCAAGATGCTTATCATCTAGATTCTAATTACTCAATGAAACTATTTCCATCAAGTTTATAATTCCTCAATGGAATTATGTCCCCTATTTTCCTTTGTGATTAACATTTACCAAGAAAAATTTTCAGATTGTCTTTCTATTCAATATCAAGCTGTTTGTCCAATGGTTTGGAAGAGGTTCATATTTGTTTCCATTCCCAAGAAGGTTGAACCAAAAGAAAGTGGAAACTATCAAACAATATAATTAACACTACACTCAAGCTAAATACTGCTGAAGTTCATTTAAATATGGCTAGAACAGTACATAGACAAGGAACTACCAGAAGTTCAAACAGGATTTAGAAGAGATAATGGCACCTGGGATATCATTGCTAATGTCAGGCGAATTCTGGCTGAAATAAAGAATACCATAAGAATGTAGATTTAATCTTTATTGATTATGCAAAAGCATTTGATTATATAAATCATAACAAATTATGGCTAACATTGAGAAGAATGGGAATCAGAGCACTCAACTGTGCTCATGTGAAACCTAAACCTATACCAAGGGACTGTTGTGCAAATAGAGCTAGGGAACAAAATATGGTTTAAAATTAAGAAGGGAGTGCTCCAGGTTCATATTCTCTCTATACATCTTCATCTCTATGCTGAGCAAACTATTTGACAAACTGGACTCTATGAAGAAAAATATGGCATTAACATTGGAGGAATACTCATCATTATCCTGTGTTATGCAAATGATACAATCTTGCTTACTGAAAGTGAAGAAGACTTGAAGTCTTTGTTGCAGATGGTCAAATAATACAGCCTTCAATATGGAATGCATCTCAATGTCAAGAAAACAAAAGTTCTTACACTGGACCAATAAATCCAAAATGATGGATAAAAGATTGAAACTATCAATAATTTCACCTTACATGGATCCACAATTAACATCCTTGGCACCAGCAGCCAGGAAATTAGGAGATGATTGCACAGGGAGTGTCTGCAGCCAGGGATGTTTCCAAAGTATTGAAGAATAAAGATGTCAGTTTCAGGACTAAGGTGCATCTGGTTCAGGCCATGGTCTTTCCAATCACTTGCTATGTATCTGAGAGCTCAACAATGGATAAGGATGACAACGAATCTATACCTTTGAACTGTTGTGTTGCAGAACAATACTGAACACACCATAGACTGTCAAAAGAACAAAGAAATATGTCTTGGAGAAAGTGCAGCTAAAAGTGCTCCCTGGAGGCAAAGATGATAAAGTTTTGTCTTACATACTTTGGGCATGTTGCCAGGAGGGGCTATTCCTTGGAGAAGGAAACCATGCTTGGAAAGGCAGAGGGCTGACATAGGAGGGTAAGACCTTCTAGTCAAGTGGATTGACACAGTGATTGCCACAGTGGCCTTTGGTGTGTCAGGAAGTGTGAGAATAGCACAGATAGGACAAGGTTTGTTACTCATAGGTTCTCCATAGGTCACATTCAACTCAAAAGTACCTAAAAACAACAACAATGTCAAGCTACACATGTCTTTCCTTAGTGTCTTTTTAAATACTCATAGTTTTTATCAGACACTTACTTGAGTTTGTCATTTTAACTATATAACATATAGTTAATAGAGAAAGTAAGGCTGGTTACAAGGTGTATAAAAAACACATTTCTATACTGATACAAAATGCTTCAGAGACTCTCTTACATTTACCAAATAAAACTATTTGGGTATGACTTTGCTTGTTCAAAACATGGCTATTTTCCAATAATCTAGATACCTGATTAATTTAGAGACTAGAACTTTTATCTCCTTAGTGTTATTTTCACATAAACTTATATAATTGTTAAATGAGTTCCCCACAAACCACAAAATCAATGTTATGTTTACTATCTCCATTCACTTATTAGAAAATTGATTAGTACTACTTGTGTAATGTTGAGAGAAAAATTTTGTTTCTGGACTACAGACCCATTAGTCGATCCACAATGAGAATTCCAAGTGATGATATTTATTTTCCTTTCTGTTTTTTAAAGATGATGCACATGAAAGTAGAGAAAGTGGGTGGGTTTTTCATTTCCATTACTTTAATATTAAATTTGATGTGAAAAATCATTTTCTTTGTATAATAACTCAACCCTCTTGGTAATATTGCATTACAGGCAATACACAGTTCTAATAAAAACATGTTGAAAATTATTTAAAAACCTCAGACACACAGGCAGCCTTAGCATTCCTTTTCTGATACATTATCTGGTACTTTCAAAAATAACAGCTACAGTAAGTAGATCTACCATAAAAAGAAAGAAAATGAAGACTTTCACTCATAGTTTATGTAAGACAAAAATTACAGATTGAAGTTACTAATCCTTATTTAAGGTACTTGTTGACTCAGTGATTACCAACGGAGATTGTGAAAATTATGCAGGACCTGGCGAGGTATCAATCAATTTTACATGCTAATATAAGTAATAGGACAATGCTAAAGAGAAACTATGTCAGTCTAGAGATTAAGGTTCGCCTCATCCAAACCATGGTTTTCTCATTTGCTTGCTATACATATGAAAAGTGAACAATGACTAAGGATAACATATAAGAATCTCTGCCTTTTAGTTGTGATGCTGGAGAAGGATATTGAACACACAATGAACTACCAAAATTACAAACAAGTCTGTACTGGTGAGGGTAGAACCAGGCTGCTCCATGGAAGCAAAAATCTTAAAACTCTACCTCACATACTTCGGTCATATTGCCAGAAAGAACAAGTCCTTGGAGAAGG